TAACGATGCACGTTAAATAACCATTACCGTTAACCATTATTATCACTAGAAATAATAAAAACGAATCTCTGTCGGTCCGTTGTCTCGGCTTACGATCAGATTTACCACGTGTATACACGAGGAAATTCGTTTCGGTAGGTGTGCCGTGATCTTTTTGACATAGGTCATTTTTGGTTTTACAATGATGCGTGATATTTTTTTCCTGCCTCTAAACAAATTTTCGACCAGAAATCACGCTCCGATCATTAAATTCGGCTGTGGTTTTTTCGGCTATTAGATTTGTTGTAATTAAGTGAAAGAAAGTTGTTTAGATCTGAATACTTATACAATAGCACTTTGAAAATTAGTAATATCATTTTAGAGCTTTTTGAACCATTTCAATAATCATATCGCTAGTTTAAATTTTCCACCTTTTTTTGGTTATACATATCCAAAAAAAATTACAGTTATTTTTGATAACTATAATTTATTTTTATCAGCGTTTCGAATTCAAATTTATGTTGAAATTCATTAAACAAAAACAACTGTAGTTTATTTTGTAGTTATACAAATTATAGTACAATGCTCAATTTAAATTTATCCAAAAATTACTAACCGGACTCCGCTCAGAATCGTTTTTCTTTCGCAAACACATTCGAAATACATACTACCTTTATCACACCTTCCCCATCAGTGGCCTACCCATTTATTTTTCGTTTCATGTATACCACACATGCATTGGTACGTTAATTTTGCGGAGAATAATGCACGCCGTGTACTTGTATATGTACTTATAAACTAATATGTATGGAAAAAATAACTATTATATAATAATTAAATTGTATTTTCTTCAATAATATTTGTTTAATATTGTACGTATTTTCCGGTTTTTTCTACGTTGTTCCCGGGTTTTCACATCTGTTGTTAAAACTCCTGGGAAAATCAAAAATTTCAGATTTCCTTTAAAAAAAAAAAAATAAAATACTATCATTGTAAATCGGAGCAAAATTTCCGGTGGAAAATTTTTTCACAGATAAACAAAAAAAAATATAATAAACATTGTAAAACCAATATGCTCCTCGCTCCACTCAGAATCTAAAAATGGTACTGCGAATGATTACATCCCGAACTGAAAGTTACACCCCTGTAAGTGACCCATGTAATTGGAAATGTTTGTATACATTATACACAGGGATACAGAAATACATAATATATTACAATATCACATAAATTGTAGTGTGCTCACTGCAACAGCGTACTAATCGAACATACGGTTAATAATAATTACTATACCTATTAAAGGAATGCGCTGTAAACCTGATAAAGTTACAAGGAATTCATAAACGTTTTTTTTTTTTTTTAGCGAAATACGCATTACATACTATCCGGTCTGTTTGATTTGAAACCTACGCAGAAAAAAGTCTTACAATAATATTGATAATCAAGCCTGGATTAAAGGAGGGGGGGAAGAGTAAAGAAGGCCATGACTCCCGGGGCCGTGGATGTAAAAGACCCATTGGTGTCGTCATAATTGTTTATAAAATATTCGTTGACAATTTTTCTTTGTGCTTACTTAACTTTAAATTAAAATGTTTATAATGAGGACCTATATTTTCAAGTTCATTTAATCTGACCACGTTAATAATGGGTTACGCACTTTGACGTGTGCTTTTTTTTCCTACCCGTAAACAGTTTTTTACCGGAAATCTTGCTCCGATCAAAAAATATTTGTCTATTTTAAGGATTTCATTTTTCGATTTTTATTATAGTTTTCTTAATAATGGGGGAAAACGGGAAAGTTCACGGTTTCATTATTTTAGTTTTTTTTTTTTTTTTTTTGTTATTAGGTTTAATATGAATATATAATCGAGACCTTCAATTTCGACATAATAATTATATTAACTTAGATTTTATGTACATTAAAATTGTTTTGGCCAAACAAAAAAGCTTAAAAATTTAACGAAAGGCTCATTATAAATTGTTCTTATTGGATAAATAAACAAAAGTTGATTTTCTTTATTCTTTTAAATTCGAATTCTAGAATCAAATTTTGAAAATCTTAAAAATCACGGCATTTAAAAACACGTATTGTAAGTTGCAATCGTTATAATCGTATTTCGTTAATAACGGTTTATCCGTACATGATATAAATGGAATAACTCTATCCTATTATATCTAACCAACCTTCTCTAGGCTTTATTTTTTTTTTAATTTTATCAGAATTTTAAAAATCTTATACTACGATTTTAACAGTAACGTTAGGTGTAATTTATCGGTAGATGGGCTGTCGGGTGTATAATAATAGTAAAATAACTCCACAGGAGATTTCGGGTCGAGAAAACCTAACCGTACGTATTATGATATTATGTTTATGGTTCGAAATACTATATATTATTATACTTGCCATCCCCCAATGTATCGAATAAAAGAAAGAATATTGAAAAGAAAAACACGTCTCCTCGTTTTCACCCCCGTCTCCATGACAGTTTTAACCATTGTTGCCCGGTAATTTATTTTTAAGGAGGGTAATTCCTTGGCCTTAGGCCCGGTGACAGCCAAATCAATTGATAACTGTTCTTTTTTCTTCATCCGTGTCGCCAATGTTAATACCCACAAATCAACGGACAAAGTTCAATTTTCGTTTCTAAAATACCGTATCGGCCGCCTGTACCATTTTTAAAACTGATGTCCGCCATAACTGACTGCCTTTGCGTTCGAGCTTCTGCGACACATACAATTGTATAAAATCGTATAGTTTGCTAAACTATAATCTGTGTTTGGAAGCACGTGTATTTGTCATTGAACTTTTTCAATAGATGCCTAATGAAATATATTGGACATGCAAAACATATCCTTTACGGTTAACCGACGTTCAGTTAAATGGTGCGTTGTAAACCTCTACATCTAAAATCAAACCTATACCGTAAATAAACTGGCCGGCGCTATACAAATTCCAAAATCCCATTAACTTGTATTTTGTTCGAGGTTCTGAGTGGAACGAGGAACGTATTGGTTTTACAATGATGGTTATTTTTTTTCCTGTCGACAAATTTTCCCAAGAGTTTTCCGAATAAATAGGAAAAACCGGGAAATAACGGAGAAAAAACGGGAAAATGTACGAAACGCATTAGCAAATATTAAAGCCTTTTTTATTTTTGGGACAAATTTTCTACCAGAAATTTCGCTCCGATCTTCAATTAAAACACTTTTCCTTGGAGTTTTTCCAAAAAAAAAAAAACGGGAAAATAGGTACAACATATTAATAATATAAATAGTACGTAATAATATATACAGGTGCGAATATTATTAAAGGAAATATACAATACATATGTTTTTATTTTACAATAATATGGCATGCATATTGTTAACAAACGAAACAACACTCTCAACCAAATTCCGCTCAGAACCGTTTTTCGTTAGCAAATGGGTTGTGGCTCGCGGAAAAATGTTCAATTGGATTTTGTCGCCCTCGATGCCGAAAAGATTTCCGACCCCTGATAAATATCGATAGAAAAAACAGAAAAAAAAAAAAAAAACGCATCAATATAATGAAATACGTAGAAGATATTATTGTTATGCGCACGGTGCAGTGTACACCTATACTCTACCTGCAGTGCACAAACGACACGGTCGTGAATGCAGAAAAGGTGGACGCGGGAGATGAATAAAATCGAAATCGTTAGTACTTTTACGCTACCGCATTATTATACCTGTACCATGCACGCCGCCGCACGCACGCAGACGCGTCGGAATGGTTCCTGTAGGGAAAAAAATGCGTCCATCCGTTCTACAAACGCGCGCGAAACGTCCACAATAGCGAACACGATAATATACACAGGTAGGTCGGCCGTCCAGATATCCATCGTCGTGTGCGTTGTCGCGTTTTATAAGCAACCATGCGAAATAATATTTTTCCCCGAACCCCATTATTACAATATTATCGGGTCTTTTGGCCGGATCGGCTTGACGAGGGGGCGACATTCGAACCGTTCGACCGTCACGCGGATCAAAGCGGCAAAACTAACGACAGAAACTGCATACCTATGTGTGCTCGTACGCACATACTGAACATTATCGCAGTCGTCGCCGCGAATCTGTCGGAGAAAGGGGGAGGGGACGAAATCTGATATTTAAAACGATGTCTTGGTATTCGGTACCGAAACGAAAAGTTCAAAAACAACGTGAAAAAAAAAAAAAAAAAAACGAAAAACATAACTTAGGTAGTTTTTCGGTAGGGCTTTCAAACGAAAAAAACGATATTTATTTATTTTTTTCGTCTGTTTAATTTGTTTCGATTGAAAACTAGTAAATATATACATACGATCAATTAGCGAAACCTTTATTATCAGGTGATATGCGTACGTTTTTTCAACAATGCAATGTGAAGTATACGGTTGTAAAAGATGTTTACTTTTTTTTTCTGTAAACAACTTTTCTACCAGAAATTCCGCTCCGATTTTCGACTGTAACACTTTTTCTGAAAGGATATCGGCCCGGGGTGGTGTCTTATGGAGGTCGTTTTATCGATTTTCCCAAAAAAATCGGGGAAAAACCGTAGGAAAATAGATACGGTATAAAAACAAATATTGTTGGAGAAAATATATGATGCACATGCAATTATGCGACACGTATATTGTTGACAATGCAACACTTTTAACCGAACACCGATCAGAATCGTTTTTCGTTAGCAACGGTAAATCGTTGCGTATACATTTTCTTGAAATTTCCCCTATTCCTTCCCGACTTCTCACCTACGACAATGGCCCGCCCGTCGCGCGAAGTATGTCCGCGTCGTTTTCAAAACCCCGGCCGTTTTCTAAATAAACATTAGGTTTTCGAACGATAAAAATTGTGAAAACGATATAGCGAATATCGGCAATACGCTGGCCGCCGCGATGCCGTTGCTAAGGCACGCCCGGCCGTATTATTCGAAACGACCGTCGCGTCGAAGAATACGCGCGGGCGGCTAGTGAAAATTTCCGGGAAATTTCGGCGAGAACCAGCAAACGGCCCGAACGCAAATGAACGGTAAAGACAAAGATGGGGACGACGACGCGTACAGTAACGTGTACATGAATCGGAAATCGCAGGCACGCGAGAAGCCGAAAAAACGGTGCCCCTGCATTCCGCCGCAGTCCAGCAACAGCAGAAAAAGCCGGGCGGACGGCTGTGGCGGCGGCTGTGGCGGCTGTGGCGGCGGTCCCGGCTGCGGCGCCCGGTGCGCGCCGGACCGTTATTGCAACGAGGCGCCGCACAGGAGGCCCAGGTACGACCCGGACGACGAGTACAATCGCTATACCTGCAGCAGCGAGAACGTCGTCGGGGCCCGCGGTTCGGCGGCGTCCGCGTTCGGCGGGTGGATGATGTCGACGGCCGACTGGATTTGGGACCGCCGGTTCCAGTTCGTGTTGCCCGCCATGTGCTATTTGCTCGGCGTCTTCTCGTGCGATTACTGCAGCTCGTGCGACTGCAGTGCGACGGTCTGACTGCGGTCGCGGTCCTTACAACACAATAATATGTTTTGTTTTTTTTTTTTTTTTTTTTTTTTTTAATACGACACTTAAATAATAACACGCATCCGGACGCGGAGTTCCGGAAACACACGAAAATCGCACGTAATCACGCGAAATAAGGTGTAAATAGGTATGCAGGCCGGATACACGATCATTATAGCAGTACGCGTTTTCTTTTATCCGGAAAGTTTATTCGATATTGTCGTGTACATGCGTATACACGCGGGCTTGTGCTCTCAAGAGTATAATTTTTTTTTTTTTTTACCGATTCCCCTCCCCACCCCCTCAGAACTGTCCAGAGTAAAGTGCACCGGTCGCCCCCGGCATATTACCCATTGTAAACACGACCGCAATACCGCGCCTGTCGTTAAATAGGGAAGGCAAAATTCTCAAGCAAATCTATGCAAAAAAAAAAAAAAAAACAATAAATACGACATTTTTAACGACAGTAATATTAGTGCTGCCAGATTGGACGATTAGTCGCCAAATGGGCTACATCAGAGGTCCTAATATCGTCCAGAAATATGAACTGGCGTATGTACGCCAATCGGGCTACTATTCAGTTATTATAAATAGGTGGTTTTTGGCACCTTTTTAGAACGTTACGCTTACGTTACGATACGCTTCATTCATAATATAAAGATTGAAAAAAAAAAAATGTATTTTGTTTTCATCGCCAATATAAATGATAATTAATGTTATGGTTACAGTCAAGGTTGTAGATATGACTGCCTGGACCGTGTATCTTGATAAAACACCGTCTAATGGTTTTTTATCAAATTAGACTGAAACCGGCTTTGCGGTTATAAAGTATTGACAATAAAATTGTTATCACTTATTACCGTAGAATGTTATCAAAAACCGAATAGTAAATACTGTACTTAACTGTTTTTACGAAATACGAGTATCTATGCATTTTAGATTCTGAGTGGAGCGAAGAACCTTATGGTTTTACAAATATGTTTAAATTTTTTTTACTGTGGACAACTTTTCTACCAGAGAACTTGTTCCGATTTTTACGTGTAGCACTTTTTCTGAAAGGTAATAGGTGTGGGGAGGTACTTTAAGCAGGTCATTTTATAGATTTTCTCAAGAGATTTCTCATCAAATGTAAAAAACCGAGAAAAAACTGGTGCGAAATACAAAGTGATCAATCGTAAGACATTCGTTACGCAGCTCTACAATTTCACATTTATTTTACTTCTTGTCGCTCTAATTTTTCGGGGTAAAATCACTACCTACTTTTGATTTTCAAATGACAAATGGAGTATTAGTTAAAATAAATTTTGTCGTTGAAATTTTTGATTTCCGTCAATCCGTTTACGAGATATTCTAAATTTAAGTTTTGGTTGGAGTAGAGTGGTGGTGCATTATTAACACGCCGCGCGCTGTGCCACCACACATATGATATTGGAACAAATGAAAACGAAAAGCAGATTTTTCGACCACTAATTACGACTTGTAATAAACCTCGTCTGTTAAATGTTCAAGCATTTCTGTTTGGTATAGCAATTTTGCAAAGGTTAACATTTTGAAAGTTAGATCGAAATATCGATGGTGTTTTGTTAAAAGGACGAACATCGCTAAAAATCTGAGTATGCGTTTTCGGTTATCGAAAAACTCGGATTAAATTAGGAGCGTAAACTGGTAAGAATGCGTATTTAAGTGCAGAAAATTAAATTTTTGTAATTTCGACTAAAAGATATCCAGGCGCCCTTTTCAAATATAATTAAACCTACACTGATTTGTTAAAAGGGCGTACACCGCATTCAACGCGTGTACAAAATGTTATAATTTGCACGAGTGATTCAATTGGTTTCCGTGATACGTAAACGACATTAAAAACTGTTTTGCTGTTTCTTTGCAAAATGGGGTTTTTTTATTTTTGTTTTTTGCTTCCCGAAAAAAAGTGTTTAATTGATGTACGCCCGTCACTTGAACAAAACTTAGACAAAACACCGTCGATATACGTATGTTCGTAAAAAAAAAAGAAAAACAAAATCCCATTTCAATATCGGAACCGTCAGACTGAAATATTTCGCGACGGTAATTTGAGCGAAACACGCTGTATACGTAGATAAAGTCGATTAAATATTTTCGTTATTATACATTCATCGGTATTCACGGGTAAATTAACAATAACTGAATAACATGTTTAATGCGCAGACAAAATGTACACACGCAATATAAAAGAACACATTGTTTTGTTTTGTTTTGTTTTTTTATTTTTTTTTTGATAGTAACTAAATAAGAATAATTTTTTTTTCTTTAATCTCGATTCTCGTTTAGTCATTATATGTTATTAAATTACAACAAAATGCATATTTTAATGGATTTTTTTTTTTTTTTTTATTATTATTATGACATAATAGAGTTTTTCTTTATGCGTTTTCAAATAAAAGTTAAGTTCTTATTTTATATTATATTATTATATCTACGTACGCGACCGCGCCGCCATCGTCTCGCGTACCGTGGTGTGCCGCTCGCGTGTGAGAAAATATACGAATCCCCACTGCCCCGCGTGTACGAATACCTGCTGCAGTTGTGCGCATACAGAAATTGTTCGATTGTCTTCTGCCGACGCTATACCGTGATATTAGAGCCGATAACCTCACTTTAAGAACGAATCCGCATTGAAACCGGTACTCCTAAAATAGAAAAATAACGCGTAACAAATCAAAACGGGATCCGAGTGTTTACGGTCCGGATTTCGGATTAAATCCGAAAACGGTAACCGCTCGAAAACAACCGTCGAGCGCGTAGAGATACGCTGCCCCGCGCGTAGCGCGCGTGTACAGCGGTATATACTCCGGCAGTCTAATCGGGTAGTTTTGCCGAGCGCGCGAAAATCGACGGGTAACGCGAAACGGACACGCAGGACTGCGCGGCACGGCTCGCGGAACAGTACCGCCGTACACCGCGGGCGAATCGACCGCGAACAAACGGAATCGGAGACGACGATGGACTTTTATACAATAATCCGTTTGTGCGCGATTCCCGTAACCGCCCCGCGGAAGTGCATTTTCCGAACTCGCCCGCGTGAAAACGATACTCCGTTCCGCCGCGGCAACGGGGACGCTACCCGACGTCGTGGACTAGACAGTGGCTTGAATGATTTGTTTTTGTTTTGTTTTTGTGCGCGTTTGTGTACCTATAACCATATTTTCCAACAGAATCTCGTTAAAATCAACAATTTAATCGGAACTCTCTTGTAGCATTTTTAATGATTGAAAGGTTATTTTCGGAGGACTCTAATGGTGTTTTTTTTTTTTTAAATAAACGGGAAAACTGACAATTTTTTTTCAATTCGTATTGATTTCTGGGTTAGTTTGACGACAAACGAAAATATACGACTTTTAATAGTCAATTCAGAATCGTTTTCCGTTAGCAATGGCTTATCGTTGCATACAAATATACATTTAATTTCTCTATGTATTCTCCCTTCCGACTTCCTAAAATAGTGGCAAACTCATCGGCTGCAGTATCACCTTTTTTTTTTTCTTTTTGTCTGGGCCGATTTCGATAAACAATTTTCGGTTGGCCTAATAGAAACGTCTAGTTTTATCTATACTTGGGCGTTTTGTTTTCCCGCAATGGGCCTATTGTATTTTCGTACGAAAATAAATTCAAAATAATAATTGTTGTGATAAAAGATTATCGGTCAATAGGTCGGCAGTATGTAAAATAACACCGGTGTAGGCAGTCAATAGAGCAGTCACGATCACATTATATTGCATTAACTTTTCAAAACAAGTGTAAGTGATTAGACTCGATTATAAAATATGTTTTTTTCTGATATATTAAACAAAGCGATGATACGCAAACACAATACAAAAAGTACCGATATTATGTGTTATAGTTATAGGTACCTATACCGCGTGGTCCATTTAAGCGGGTACACTCATTATTTCGGAAAGTATTAGCTTTTTTCGGAATCTGTTTTCTATAACATTTAAGAAACAACCAGCTCTACAATTTTATATTTATGTTATTTTTTGTTAAATATAAAAATATCTATTAAAAATACCATAAATAGACGGAGTATTATTTAAAATAAATTTAAGTGTTGTCATTTTTGATTTCCATTGATCCGTTGACGAAATATTCCATTTTTAAGTTTGGGTTGGAGAAGAGTAGTAGATTGTCATTTGTGCGGCGGTACGACGCATGGCGTGTTATCAATGCACCACTACTCTCCTCCAACCTAAAATTAAAAGTGGAATATCTCGTCAACGGCTTGACAGAAATGAAAAATGTTAACATTAAAATTTATTTTAACTAATACTCCATATATTTATGGAATTTTCAATATAGGTTGCCATTTGAAAATCAAAATTATGTAGTGGTTTCGCCCCCAAAAATAAGGGTTACAAAAAATAACATAAACATAAAATTGTAGAGCTGGTTGTTTCTTAAATGTTCTAGAAAAAAAAATTAATACTTTCCGGGATAATGAATATACCCACACTTAAATGGATCACCGGTCGGTAAACGTATATATTGTATTTTGTGCCTATAATACACGCAACAGCAGATTCAAAAACGTTTTTCCAACGGCCCGTTTTATACATTTCGTCCTCGCCGCACACACAGGTGTACCTAAATATAGTTGACATTTTGGGCGTTGTGCAGCGCTGTGCCGACCCGTAGGTACGTGACGATAATAGGGTATTGTATACGCGTAAAACGTGTAGGTATACGGGTTTATGTTGTTTTTTTTTTTTCTTCTTCTTCTCTCAAGAAAATGGCAGCCGAGAGAAACGAAAATGTTGTATATTGTAGTCGATTGAACTCGTCTCGGTGCCGGAATTTCGACGTCTCACGCTGGTGCCGGCCCCTCGACCGGTTGTGGCGACGGCCGGGGCCGGTGATGGATATATAACCGGTGTTGTGCGGCCCGTAGTGAATTTCGACGGCGGTGGCGGTCCTGAGGCGACCCCCTCGAGAAGAAACCGCCGGGGACGATCCGTATACCTATGTACGGTACACGTACGTTATACAGGGTGGTTATTTAATACGATTCAGCGATCATCACGGAGGATTTCGAGTGAATTCGATTTGTTTTTTGTTCGCCTACTATGTTTAAGGTGTGTTTCAACGTTGTTACTTTACACCTTGCAGAACCTCACTCTCGAAATTAACGGGTGTATTGGTTTTTTTGACTTCGGACGGCCGCTACCCCCCTCGTCTTTTCGGCGCGGATTCGCAAAAAAAAGATTATTTTTATATACATTTTGAAAAACACCATAATATCGTTCATACGAGTTGTATTACAAAAGCGTTTAAAATGCACACTGGCGGATTATAGGTATCGGGTATGTAAAGGTAAGAAATCGCGTGTTATTTTTTTTTAGATACAATAACCGTTCCGGACTTCTGTGATCTGTAATTTAAAACTTCTGTAACTCATAACGAATGGCATATTCGACATTTTAATACTATATAGTGTTTTAACGTTCGTACGAAAACTTTAAGAAAAATATTCTCTTTATTCGAAAGTCGACATAGTATAACTATTACATTATGGCGTGTAATGTACAGGGGTTGATATGGAAAACATTGCGATAAATATACGACCGCGTTAAACTGCCGTGTAAAAATGTACCGAGATCTTCGTAAACAATCGCTGGATCGCCGGATAAAAACAAAAAAATCACCCTGTATACACCGGCACTGTACTTCGGCCGCGGTATTCGCCACCCGTAGACCCGCTACCTACTCCTCAGACGGCCGCGGGGCGGTCCTATACAAACTACAAAGACACGGCACACTCGCTCCGAGTGTATACATTTATATATATATATATAAATATTATATATATATATATTATGTGTGAATATAATATGTATTATTGTATGTGCGTATACATAATACATAATTGTGTATTATTGTATTACTATACGCGTCTTATATTATGTTATGTGTGTATAATAAAATATTAAATATATGTGCGGCGGCGGTGGCGGCGGCGGCGGCAGTGGCAGACAAATGAAGCCATTATAATAAGTGTACTGCTACAGTGGCGCACGAGAGTGGTGACGGCGGCGTGCGAGGTAGTGCTCCCAAAATAAACTACAATATATTATAATATTCCGAATCACGCTCTTCAAACGCGATGATGATGATCATGATGATGATGATGATGATGATGATGATATAATAAACGGGACGCTGCGTAATGGATTGCCGTCGCTTATCTGAGATCAATTCTAAACAAAAATTTTAAAAAAACTGTACAAGATGTTCCGAGACAAACATTTTGTTTATTAAAATTACGTAATGTAATAGAGGTGTTTTTTTTCGTGAGTTTTTACAAATCCGTGTCGGTCAAGACCAGATGCAAATATGCATTTCCGTTCCCGGAATTTGACCATCGCCGTACAAGTCTTTCTACGAAACATCGCGAGAAATTCCGACAATTTCTTTGCGAACGAACCGTCAGGTACCCCCCCCCCTCCCATAATAACAGAATAGCATAGAGCCTGCGCTAAAAATAACGATAAAAAACTTTAAGAACAGCTTCATGTGTGCATCGCCCGTCAAGGCCGACAATTTTTAAATCGTTTAAAAACCCTTATTATTGTGTATTGATTATTAGATTAAATAATACAAATTAAAACTATGAGAACTACAAAAACAAAATATCCGAGACTACTGATGGATGGACCACTGTTGATAGTTACCTATTATCAGGCACGTAAACAAAGAAGGGTTCTGTCCTCACCCCCCAAAAAAAAATTCTAAAAATATCTCATATTCCCTTTCTATAGTTCAAAACGTTTAGTTTTTTTACTCTTATGGACCACCTCTGGTTTTTTTTTTTTATCTGCCTACAATCGTAGATGAAAAGTTGGTAAGGTAGGGTGCTAGGATATGTAACATGTTTTATTTTATATCCGTATACGTAACGATTAACCATTGCTGACAAACAACGATTCTAAGCGGAGTTCGGTTAGAAGTGTTACTTTGTCAATAATATATATGTCATGGTGAAATAATTAAATACGTATTATATACAGAGGTGGCTAAAAGTCGCGCAACAAATTTGCAACACAGTTTTTATAAAACTGTTGTGTTTTATGTTAAATATGTTGTTTTTTTTATAAACCTTACTGTTGTACGTAAACGAGATAACGAGACCAAAGTTGCAATGTGACGTAACGGAAACGACGTGGAGGGAGAAACTGCGCCGTAACGCGCGTTCCATACAAGACGATAGGCGTTGCGCGACTTTTGGCCACCTCTGTATTTTTTTTAACAATATTTGTTTCCCCGGTTTTTCCCATTTATTGGGAAAACTTCTGGGAAAATCAAAAAATGACCATCCTAAACTACTACTACCACAGAAAGAGGTATTTCAGATTTCTTTCGGAAAAAATGCTAGCATTGTAAATTGTCGGAGCGAAATTGCTGATGGAATAGTTGTCCACAGAAAAAAAAAAACAAACATCATTGTGAAACCAATACATTCCTCACTTCGCTCAGAATCGAAAAGTGTCCTGAGAAAAGTTTATTAAATCCATTGAACTTCTAACTAAAATAAAAAACCTGCAGCAGTTGTTAATTACGTACCGAATTTATCATAATTTAACGTAGTTAATTTATGTATAATATTTTATTTGAAGTACTGAAATTATTATATTTTGATTGTATATATTAAAAAAAAAAAATTCGGGTGTATTATATTAACTAGTTTTGCCGGTTTTCTTTTTTCAAGTGGCAATATTGTCAATGCTGGGAAAAGTAATCTTTTTATCATATTAGGTGTGTGACAGTAAAATTGTTTTATCATCGGCGTTTTTGGTAATTCTCTCAAGAAGTCCTCTCTTGCGTCTTATCGCCTAACCAATGCCGCATTATATTATATTATACTATCGTATCGTAACCATACGCATTTATTTTAACATTAATTTCTGTTTACGTTTAGTCATATAAAATATTATTATTAAAATAAAATATTATATTTGAGATACGGAAATGTGTATACTATACAATATACATTAAGCATATAAGAGGTATGTACATACAATAATGTTTACACTTCAATAAATAAGATAATGTTTTGAGATTTTACGCTCAAATATACCTAGTTGGAATACAGTTCAGATAAAAGAACCGTAATATTACTATATTTTTCAAAGGGCGAGGCCCTATTTTACATAATGTGGTACGGTAAATAACTGCAGAGTAAGATTACACCACGTGGCATTGACGAATATAAAGATCAAACGCATAAACGATTAAAATATAATTTAATTAAATTGAGCAAAAGTATATGAGGGCCCACATTAACGTTCGCCGTTAACGTTCTTAGCAGTTCATTAGCTAAGTATAGTTAGCGGCGGTGTGAGGGACGCAAAAATGACCGCCTCGAAACGATCGCGCGAAACGAGTTTAGTAGATTCAATTTTTTTTTTTCATTTAACGGTCGTCGATCAATGAAACGAATACGCGCAATACGTCTTCATTCAGTCAAGCGCTTTATTAAGTATATCGTTTTGTAATTTTACATAATTTGAAAACCTATGGGTAATATCAATTCCGATTTATTTATCACGCATAATTAATTACCCTGTATATTTAACACGGAAAATCGACTAAGACGATTGAAAGCCGGACTTCGACGGTTAATAAGGATATCACGTCCTATCAAAAACGTTTCGACTGCACGTTTTGAAATAATATTATTTCAAAAACAATTATTAAACGACACGCTGTTTTTGAGAATATCGTGACAGCCATAAATAAAAATTGTACATTTCTATTGTGTTTCTACAACCCAATGTATTTTAAACAACAATTACAATAGACCGTTGTGGAACATTTTAATTTTTCCATAACTATTAATATACACAATAATCATAATACGTATTCATTAATTTAAAATTGTATAACTACACCGAATATAGAAAAAGTTCAAATGAACGAGCGACTCACCAATTTATTCACCTGCGGTATCCAAAGAAAGTGTTCACGGCAATTCGCGACTATATGAAAATATAAAGGAAAAGGAGGATGACATTATATAATATATACATTATACATTATGTGATTTACATACTACTATATTTTATTAAATACAAATGTCTCGTGTATTTTATTAAAACTGTATATTTTACAAATGTAAAAAAGACCAATTCCTGTGACGTGTCTATTAATAAAATTATTGTAGCTGTATCGTTACTTTTAAAGAATTTTTTATTGTAATGAGTGTTCAAGATAAAATTGAAAAACAACTCACACTAAGAATACTTTACCGGTAAACGTAATCAAAAAAATTGTAAAATTGCTATACCAGCTGAAAAAACGTCCAGATTAAAATTACGTTCATCTAAAAAAGACATTTTTATTATTATTTGTTTCTAACTACTACGCGGGGATCCGTAGAAACCATATAAAAATAATTATGTAACAAATATTTTTGATAATGAATACAAACGAATATTTTTTATTTTATAACTTATAGTTTTTACTTAATAGGTTACAGACTATTACCGATAGTGCTTTTTTTAGATTTCAACTTTTTTTATTTAAACAATCAACAAACGGGTATTTCTCTATTCGTATTCGTGATCATAATTCAATAAATATGAAAAAAAAAGGTGGTAAAACGAAGGAAATTGAAAACCCAGAACAAGAAATTTTAGTAACAACTATATCAACAATTTATAAAGCACACCACTTAAAAGTATTTGTTTTATCTTATAGGCTTCGTTGAACAAAGAATTGGACGCTCATTATAACAAGACGAAAATTCTTTTTAAACAATATGATAACGTATTGTCTGAAATTGAAGACGCTGCGTTTCACAATCATTTACTGGTAATTTATATAATACACAGTTATTCTTGTAAAAACACAATAGTTGCAAAATATATGGATGTTTTAATTGTTTAATATCATATGAAATTGAAAATCAAGAATGACTATAGTTAAGTAGGAGCGTAGCTGTTCGAATATTCGCGTGTTAAAATAATAATTATTGCCCACCGACGTTTTTATTTAATATAATTACTCAATCAGTAATTATTTTTGTTCACAAGTTACACATTTTCGGTTTTTTTTTCATAATAATATACTTCAATGAGTTCAACGTAATTATTAAATAACCCATAGTTAATTAACTTAAAAACTATAATTGATAAAAAAATGTTGGTAAGATAAAAACTACTAAGTCTATGTATTATTCGAAGTATTTGTTGTTATTAAATTCGAAAATTAAACCTAGTGTTAAATACGATAAAAAATTGTGTTTTACAGTATCAGCAACTTAATAATATATGTAGATTTTAGGTATGTAGAACTAATTAAAATCGGTTTGAAAACGAATTAGTTGTCTGTAATCTTTAATACTTATGGATCGGACAGTGTCCGTTTAGTTATTTATCTAAGTTATTTTTTTAAGTCTTTTATCAAAGCATAAACAATTAATTGCAATATAAATGTTTGTAGTCCTTGCCCCAGTGTGTAATATAAAAATAAAACAGAATTTAACTATCTTAAATATCTTCGAAGATATTACAATGGGCATATATTCGTGGGACACCCTGTATATAATATTTATTTGTACATTTTATCTTAAAATACAGCCATGAGATTTTCCCGAAAGTTGGTATTTTAAGGTTTTTGAGCATAATAAATCTATTGATTTGGGTCTCTATTTGGGTAAAGGGCTTAAACAGAATGTCAAAATTTTGATGCGTTTTCGTTGATTAAAGGTTGTTAACTTACTTTTTATAACACCTTTTTAAACCCCATAATTTTAATTTTACAAAATTGTTACGTCGTTGATTTCAATAAATGTGATAATTTGACATTTGTTATTTATTTTTAATATAATTATTTTAAAAATTGGGTATTGGATTTAATAAATTAATATTGTTAAATAAATTATAGTGTATATTTTCAAACAACTTACAAATGTGCACCTGATGTATACCTGCTGTACATTCTTAGTAAAACATAAATATTATATATTTTTAGTCGTATAAAAGATGTTTGACTATGCAGATGGAATTCAGAGATAAATTAATGGAAAAATTAACTGACGAGTTAGAACAGTTTCAGGAACATCGTAACAGGGCTCGCCTGAAAAATTTGGAATTAGTCAACAATACGTTAAGTAAGTTAATAGGCAATTATTAAAAAAAAAAATAAAATAATCGAAAACTTAAAGATAAGTAGTCAATAATTAAGAAAAAAAAAATAAGGAACATGAGATTATAGTAAGACGGGACAAGAATAAATTGAATTCTATATAAATGACTGCGATAAGAATAAATGTTTTAAACAAATAAACGATCGAAATATCAAACAATCAGCACAATAGAAATAAAAATACAATTTTTTCGCCTAAATTAGTGTCATAATATGATGAAATTATTTCCACCGACAAGCGCTAACGTTTAAATACATTTACCTACTTACGATACACTAAATTATCACATTTCATGGTTTAGATAAAATATATGTATACATATTTTGTATATATACAGTGTCGTTTAAAAAGGAAATCGAGGCAATACACGATCAATATACGTTTGAAGTGGAACTAGCGACATCTGAAAATTTGTCAGAGCTTGAAACCAAAAAAAAATTGTACAATACACACTGGGAGATACTGAAATATGATCATGGGGCGATGAAAATTAAAACACAAAAAGATATGTCCAAACTCGAAAAGACGCATACTGAAAAAATGAATACCGAAAATGGAAGGGTATGAAAATATTTTATTTAATCTGTATTTAAACAACTACAGTCCTATTTAATCTTGATACGTGTAATGTATTGTCATCGTTGATAAGAATCATTCCGTGTGCGTGCGTATTCACGAGACACGAAAATATTGAAAAAGCCAATTCCCAATGATACTGAAAAACAATAAAAATGTAAAAAAAAAATATAGAATAAATACAATATTTTGAAGAAAAAAAAAGCTAATACTGTTGATGAGTGTGCCACTGTTGTAGGTGGAAAGTTGAGAAGGTAGGGAAGAGTTATATAGAGTTATATAATAATAAAAAATCGTACACTGTAGTAAAACCAATACACTCAGCACTTCGCTGAGAATCTAAAACAGAATGAAAACAGTAATTACATAAATATTTTACCATTAAATTTTTTTTTTTTATGGTGGGAAGCAGCACATACGAAATGTTTAGTTTAATAACAGATTTTTCACTATATAATGCTTTTTGAAATTAATTAATTTAAAGCGTGGCAACAATTATATTAATAGTACAATTAATTAATTACTGTAAAGAATGGTAAATGTTATATATTTGTAAAATTATGTTGAAACAATAAGTACTTATCTAAGATACAATTTTTACTTATCTATATAATTGTCAGAACACAACTAACCCTTAAAATTATAAATCGAAATTAGGCTAAGTGAGTAGAAAATGTCGGATTACGCATTTTGCTAAAAACAACCATACAACTATTGAAGTGTAATGCTATTTATCAATGTATCAAAAACGTACTGAATGAACCTACTTAATTGTTTTACCATAAAATAAAATATTATATATTGTTGACGAAGCATCGCTATCAACTGAACTCCGCTCAGAATTATTTTTAATAAGCAATGGTTTATCGTTGCTTACAGATACAAATTAATTTCCCTTCTATAACCTAAACTTCCTAACTTCTCACTAACAACAGTGCCTGCACCCATTGTACTTTAGAAAGGTCCTTTTCGATTTTCTCAGGAGTTTTTTCATCAAATGTGTAAAACCGAAAAAAAAACATTGATAAAACGGAAAAATTTAAGAAATATAGGTATTAGTTAAAATTACTACGGCCTTCTTTTTTCCTGTGGACAACTTTTCTACAAGCAATTTCGCTCCAATTTATAATGATAGCAATGTTAATTTGACTGGGAAGGTACTTTAGGGAGGTCATTTTTCGATTTTCTCAAGAGTTTTCCGGCAAATGTGAAAACCGGGAAAAAAACCATGGGAAAACCATTAAAAACGTAGGCAAAACGGTGTATTAAACAAATATTATTAAAGATAATATATAATGCCTATTTAATTTATTTACAATAATACGACATATATATATTGTTGACAAAGCATCACTATCAACTGAAATCCGCTTAAAATCGTTTTTTCGTTAGCAATGGTAAATCGTTGATTTATATTAAAATACCTATAACAGTGGCTGCACCCGGTCTCATTCTCCTAGGACGTCTTTTTTTTAAATTAATTATTTAAATTATAAATATAAATATTATAATTATTAATTTACAATTAAGTGATCATAATTTTAATATGAAGCGTTTTTTAATACCAACCTTGGGTGTTTCCACTAATTCTTTATCCACAAAAAAAAAAATAAAACATCAGCTTATATGAATATAAACAAGTATAATATTTTTAAGTTATATGTTTTTTATCTAAATAAAAATGTAATTATCTTTTATCTTAATTTAGATATTTTCAATTTGTTTATCTATTATCTTTATCTCGATAAATTCACACATATTATCTTTTATCTTTATCTAGATAACTTTTACATTATCTATTCTCAACACTATGACCAACCAGTTGATGATATTTGCATAGAGATTTTAAGTTAAAGGGAAATTAATATTTTAAATTGCATGAACACTAATTGTGTATTAATTGTGTTTACTTGTGCATCTTACTTACAGACTGTAGAAATTCTTAACTAACATATTAAATACATGTGAACTAAATTCAATTAAACTGTCCAATTTAAATATTTATAATAAATATTTTCACGATTATAAATAAATTTCATACATCCACTAATTATGATAAACTTGTCACAATGAGTAACTATGTAGAAAATATAAACATTGCTATACGTGACATCTTTGAATAACTGCTCTAAATGCTCACGAACGACATAGTTTTAAAATAAATAATACAATATAAAAAGTTAGACCCATTTTAAAAGCATAGAAAAAATAGAAGAGTAAAATATTAGTTTCCCTTAACTCGAATTCAATGATTTCAATGCAGATATCAACGAACGGTTGGTCGTAACATTCTTGTTTAGTTTTAATCTAAAAACGTCNCTATTTTATGCATTAACGAAATATAATTCTGAGCGGAGTTTGGTTAATAGAGTTGCTTTGTCATCAATATATTTGTCATAGTATGGTAAAATAATTAAATACGCATTATATAATATAATTTGTTTAATATTGTACTTATTTTCCCGTTTTTTTTCTGATTTTCCCATAATTTCCCCGAATTTTTCCATTTGTTATTAAAACAGCTGGTAAAATAAACTAAATGACCTCTTTAAAGTACTACTCCAGTGAGGTTTCCTTTCAGAAAATAGTGTTATCATTGCAAATTGGAGCAAAATTGTTGGTAGAAAAGTTGTTTACAGATAAAAAATAATAATAATAAACACTCAGAATCTAAAAGTTACATCATTAAACTAGGTATACTAAGTATGTAAGCATACCTACATAACTAGGTATACTAAGCATATGAAAGACGATTCTTTCTCCGTATATTATTATTAATATGCGTTGAATATGTTTAATGTTTAATCCATTTTTATTTTTATTAATACATCTACAAAATAAAATTAATTTTTCTTGGTTTTAAGCCGATATAAGGCATCGAGAATTTCTTCTGGATCAATGGGTACTTCCCTATGGAAGGCTGACAACGTTAATTTATTGGTACTACACATTTCGTTAAATTAAGAAAAATAATGTCATCATATCCATTATTTTTCCGTTTACTTCAGTAACGCCATGGAAGAGGATCTATATCACCCCGCGGGCGTGATAATAAAAAACGTTAATAATTCACCAAATTCGTCAAAATAACTAATTATTTAATTATTTTAATCTTAACGCAGCAAGAATCAATATTTGATAAGCATATTTGGAATGATAAAGAGCACTGCAAAATTATCAAAGACAAAAACCTATTAGTTTTGGACAATTATGAGAAAAAAACAAAAATATTATTGGATGATTACCAAAAATTCAAATCAAAAGATGAAAATCTGGAAGATTTACGAACAAAATTAAAAACCAAAATTAAAGAATCATTAGTAAGTGCCTATAGCTACTATAGTCTATTTAATTTCTACATTACATTCAAATATTTACAAAAGTATAACTATATTAATACATTTTATAAGAAAATGATAAGTCACTTAGAAGAAGAAATCAAAGAACCCAAATCACTAAAGGAATTAAACGTGTTGATAAAAAAAAGAGATGAGTTACAAGAAGATTTTAAAAACGTTATACAAAGTTTAAAAGATGATTCTGCAGCTGGTGAAAAACAAAAAATACTTCTATGCCAAATCACCTCACCGATAGAAAATGTAAGAGAATATTTTATAATTCTATACTTGTATAATTTCATACTAATATTTCTTGTTTCAGGAAATCACTAATCTATTAAAGAAAGGTAATGAATTGGTAAAATGGATCAAAATATGTGAGAGACTGGAAACACATACTCAATCGAATTCGTATCCAATGTGCACCGAACCTGACGATGTCCAATGGGTAAGTACCTATCATTTATTCGAAGATACAGCTATCTGCATGTATATTATTGTGTAAACATAAATAAACTTTCCTACGAGAATTTTTTTTTTAGTTATACTAACACTGACCTAACCTATTCGTAATCAGCCGTCTTATTTAATAGCCCGAACCACTTGCGGCAATGAGTAAGTTGACAAAATTTTGGCACCGTGTAATGAACGCGAAGAAAAATTCGAAATCAATAGACGAAAAGATCGATAGATTAAAATCAGAACGTTTACAACTCAAAGAGGAAATACGCAATTTCGTTAAACAAAAATCTAAAGATCCAAGTCATTCTTCCAATTCTTCGGGTGTCTAGATGTTATGAAAGACTTGTTCGGATAGCGATATAGTACCTAATATATTGTAGTTTTTTGGTCGAAATCTTGTTTCGAAAAAAGAAAAAAAAAGCAAATTTTAACAATAGATAACGCATTATTATTATTACTATTATAAGAGTAACGCACGAGTGTATTTAAATTCGATGACTTTTCTTCAACAAATTATTTACTGAAATAATATTTTTTAGCTATTAAGTATACAGTAGCGACGTAACTAAAATATATTTGTTTTTTCGGCTAATGGACCAGCATTTTTTTTTTTTTTTTTTAATATCATATTTGTAGTTTTTTTTCCTATGTCGGTGATCGATATCGATATAGTTATTGACATTTTTTTTAAATATTGTAAGTTTCGAGGGGGGGGGAAGCTCTGGCTCCCGTGCCCCATTAATGTTTTTTTACCTACTTTCTAAATACAAACACAATTTTTTTTTTATGTATGACGAAATGTTCGGATATAAAAATACTACGTTGTATTTCGGAATTTCAAAAATATATATACTCAACATAACGAAAGAAACTCTAATCTCATACGTATCTCATAAAGTATTCAATTTTTTCCGGAATTTGAGGCGGGAGTCGTTAAAGCTTGATGAATCATGATTCCGCAATATACAACTCCGCAATCCGCATGCACTACGGTTCTTCACACAATTTGTATGCGACGTTGCTGTTGTGAGTTCTGTGACGTTTGTTTCGGTCATTATATTATTTGAAAAATTGTATTAATTATTTGACGAAAAGACACATGTTCGAGCTGTAGATATTTATCGGTATGCGTGAATGCAAATAACTGTTTTTCCAATAAAAATTTCACGGCATTTATTCTTACCGACTAGAAAAAAAATGTGTACATTATCACCCAGCAGATATACTCATAATAAAATAGAAAGACAAGTTCTTTGAGAAAATTATAAACGAACAGCGTATTACAGGGAATTGGTTTCTAGTATATAGACTTATAACGATTATATAATCAGAAACCAAAATCGATTAATTATATTGAATAATGATATCAAAAAAGACGTCCTAGGATAATGGAGACGGGTGCATCCACTGTTATAGATAATTTAATGTTCATCTGTAAGGAACGATAAACCATTGCTTACGAAAAAACGATTCTGAGCGGAGTTCAGTTGATAATGACGCTTTGTCAAGAATATATGTCATTTTATAGTAAAATAATTAAATAGGCATTATATATTTTCTTTAATAACATTTGTTTAATGTTGTACCGATTTTCCTAGTTTTCCTACGTTTTTCCTGGTTTTCCCAAGTTTTATCCCGGTTTATCATATTTTCTGGGAAAACTCTTAGGGAAATCGAAAAATGAACCTTTTAAAGTACCTCCTTAGTGAAATTTTTTCTTAGAAATATCACTATCATTGTAAGTTGGAGCAAAATTGTTAGTAGAATAGTTGTACACAGAAAAAAAGAAATTGTATTATTTTAGTAATATATTTCATACATATTCCCATTTGTTTTCGGTTTTTTAAATTTGATGAGAAAACTTTCGAGAAAACCAAAAAATGAACTTCTTAAAGTACATCCCTACACCAATTTCCTTTCAAAAAAAGTGCTACACTTAAAAATCTAAACAAGTCTTCTGGTAGAAAAATTGTTCATAGATTAAAAAAAAAAAATTAACATCTTTGTAAAACTATAAGCTTCTTTGCTCCACTCAGAATCTAAAATTGAACAAATTGAACGAAAAATAACGCATGCAATTTACGATAGATAAATATGATAGTTATAAATCACATCGAAGTCCACTGCTATCAATCATTTGTTTTTTTAACATCACAAGTTGATCCGCGGCATAATTACGTATTCATTTTTGATACCTAAAATGCAATTTTAAAATTATTTTCTATTTCTATAAAAACCACAACTACAGGTGAAAATATTTATCCGTAATCGTGTTCTTTTTAGGTGATAATAAAAACGAATTTCGTGTAACGAATGCGCGTGCATTCGTGTGTATACAGGTAAAAAAAGTATAGTGTGCAATGGAATCGTGCGTTATCCGTTCAGCTTCGAATCCAACTCGGGATGGGGGCGGGGTCGTCAGAAATATTTAGGGGACGCGACATTCGCGTACCATAATATAAACGATGAAATATAAAAATATCAGTAGGATAATTCAAATATAATTATATGGGGGGGGNGGGGGGGGGGGGGTACGCATCTCGTTAATTGTATAGTATGACGCGGCCAATCAATCGGCCACATAAATCCCGGTACGTTTTATTTTTCAATATTGTGCATTTATACCCGATATTGTCGTTCATGCACGAGTATAGCATACGTTTATTATGCTTTGTTCGCGATAAATTTCTGTACACATTACAATAATACCCGTTTCCCGCGTAATTCAGGTACACGTATCTCCTGTAACTGCACGCGATACGGTCCCATCGCATCGTTGCAACATCGTTAATTCATTATAGGCGCAGGACGAAACTAATCGGTTTTCCGTGAAAGAAATCACGGCTACATACACCGGCGATAATGGGCACAGCGTATTACACACAGAAACTTATGTATTTCGTTTTTGTCGCGACGACGAATAGTATGGTAGAAATCGTGGGTAGGTACATATAATGCGTAGTGCCGGGGCCCGCATTCTAAAAACCTCACAAACGGAACGAGACGGTGAAAAAAGTGTTTTTTTTTTGTTTTTTTTTTTTTTAATGTTTTTTTTCAATGACGACCAAAATCGAAAACGTCAAGGTCGTTTTATCCGGCCGCACAAAGGTTTCGGGCAACGTGCATTATGTTATACACGAGTGTTTCGAATAAAAGACTGCCGCGGCGACGACGGCCGGCCGCATTTTCGAGCTGCAGAAGAAATGACTCGCCCGTAAATAGGGAACGTAATGAGAGGAAACCCGTATGCGCCTGTTATACACGTTAAATTGGACGTGCACCCCATAAGAAAAAATAAAACGCAATAAATAAACATATATTTGTACATAGATATAATAATATACACTATACGTTCCTCGGGAGTTCGGCTTTTATGGGACCAAAACGTTTGGGGGGTATACACTAGACAGTTTTACCGGAGCGTTTTTATTATTATTATTGTTATCCGTTGTGGGCCGGTTGACCTATCCGAACAAAAACGTAATTGCGTCATATTAAAACACCTATATACGAGTAGGCACCTATATAGGTACAATCCGCCTACTACCGCCTATTGACAAAGAGTGACTCGATTATGCGACAAAACGACGGACATATTACTATATACCTATTGAGATTTTTGAAAAATGAAACGGCGCGTCGTTCACCCCGTTCAACCCCGAACCGTATACCTTTACATTGTTGTGTATACAGCGCCTTAACAACAACAACAACAAACAAACGTACAATATTATATAAATAACAATAGCGTTAAGAAATCGGTGAGGAACAATAACGCACGGAAAATAAATCTTTTTACTTCGGACGTATAGGTATTTTTCTGAAAAAAAAAAAAAAAAAAAAATCAGACGTCCGTATGTTATTGAATGAAAGGGCACCGTCTATAATAATAACAATAAGAGAAACGATCTATCGATAAGGACACCGGGTCCTTATCCTAACCTAACCTAACCTAACCCGATAATAATATAAGTATATGTGATATATTATTATAAATTTTAATCGTAAGCCAACGTGGTGTATCTCATATGTGTTTATATGTATGTGTGTGCGTATTATGGAAAACACTAAACCCCTGTCCATAATATCGGTTACGGCTATTGTTGACGAAAAATAATAACATATGTACCCCGCGTGTCTAAAAATCGTATGCATATATTTTATTAACACGGGTGGTTGATTTTTTGGATCTCCGGTACGCAGTAGATCACTTATCTGTCCTTTATCCGTATTATCAACGATACTATAATACACAGGTCAAAAATGACCGAATATTCGTAGTGATTTATATTTTGTGTATATCATTTCTCTCGTTTATAAGAATTATTGATTTTGATATAACGATTCTGTTTATGATTACACCACTGCACAATAAATTAACGCGTAGGACACTAGCTCATAGCGGTTAATAGTTATAAATACCGTTTCCATTTATTGTGATTGTTTTTTTTTTTTTTTTTTTTTTTTTTACTCAACTTAAATGTTATTCATCTACTGGAGTATCCACCAAAGCTGCTTTTGTGTTGCCGCTAATTTACCGCGGCTCCGAAAAGAAAGTACGTTTTATGTAAAATAGAAATATTACCGCGCGGAGATCAAAATCAAGCACCCACGTTCACGATTTACTTAATATCTAAATAATTATAATAACAATATTATGTAAAGCACGACGAAGGTCATTTAATATATATTCCGTATGAATTGTAATGTTTCGTTTTAGGTACATAAATAAATAGGTACCTCCACATATATGAAATTTGATATTACAGTGTTTACCGTATTTGTCTGATCCAGTGACATGCTCGACTTTTTAACGGGAGAGGAGGGTATGTGTTTTTGGCTGTTAACTCATACGCGCGAGAGGTTGTGTCAATGACAAACCAAAAGAACAAAAAATAAAAAGACTGACATACTTTGCACGTGGATGCAGCCACTGTTGGGGGTGGAAAGTTGGGAAGGTAGGATACAAACGGGAATTTAATATATATCTGTAAGCAACGATAAACCATTTCTAACGAAAATACGATTCTGAGTGAAGTTCATTAGATAGTGTTGCTTTTTCAACGATACAATATATGGTATGTATCATATTATGGTAAAACGATTACAACAATGTACGTTTCCATGACAAAAATAATTGTTTAAGATTAAAGATTAAAATAAAAATAAAAAATGTTTTTATTATAATAATAAAAACTTAATAATAATAATAAATAAATAAAAACGGTTGTCAATGACAACCTTATTCTTAATATTTCGATCTTTTTTTACCTAAAGACCGAGGTTTTCCTCATTATCTCGAATATTAATGAGATTTCAAAAATGACCT